ATAATAATTTTATATTTATTCATATAAAAATATTAAAGAGACGAAACTTTTGACGAAATTACAATTTTTCAAAAAAGTGTTTAGTCAGGTATCACTACTTGTTAATCAAGGCACATTATTAAAAGAGTTGGTAATGGCTATCGAGCGAGAATTAGATAAGGAATCTCAATATACCTGAATTAATAAATATTATGGGTCAAATCCGTCAGTTGGGCTGCAATCAACTTATAGTACCATTTTCAAAGAGCTCGATTCTGTGTTACAAACAAGTTTATCACCTATTCCTTTGTCAATTCAAAGAGCTCAAATGAACCAATCATTACTTTATCGAGTTAATTTAATTTCAATTAATCAGGTTGAAGATGACAGTAATGTTAGTGGTATATTAGAAAGATCATATGATGTATCACAAATTCATTTACGGGAACTCCTTAACAGTATATCTTACAATGATATTACTGAGATTTGGGAAGTATCATATATTGGATCGAAAAATTGCAAATCACATTATGTTGTTATACTCGAAGACTCTACTTTACTATGCACCTGTATGTTTATTGTAAATTAAGGAATGATATGTCGTCATCAATTAAGGGTACTTATTGAGTCAAAAAAAGTAATAATATATATTTCATTGATTCACACACGTTGGTTTAATTCGAATCTATCAGATTCAACAAGTTTTATTACGATTGTAAATGGAGAAAGAAAGCATACAGCAATACCTCTGAGTTATATGAATAATTTGAGAACTGAGAATGTATATACTCCTATGATTATAAGACAAGTGAGCAAAAAACTTAAATATGGGACTGCAATGTCTATAGCTAAAACGAGCGTATAAATTACCATTATGAAAGATGTTACATCTGAATTAATCAGAATTTTAACGCAGTTTATCATGAAATATCGTAGAAGTACAGGTTTAAATATCGACACTCCTAACAATATTATTTTGCAAAAACCTTCTATACAAGATGATCGTCAACCTTTGTCAGTTCTTTCTGAAGTATCAAATCCTGAATATCACAAACCAAAAGGATGACCTCCAAAGTAGTATAAATTGGCGGTAGAAGTTAATCATGTTACATCAAGCAAATCAGGTGATGTAACAGTACAGAAAACATGTAGTTATTGCTCTGAAAAAGGTCATAATATCTGAGGATGTTCAAAATATAAGGCTAATTCAACTAACAACAAAGAAAATGAGCACATGAAATAGTTACACATTAACTTAGTTTCATTTAGGATGGGTAAGGTGGTTAATATAATTAACTTTCAAACTCAAATGTATTATGTGAGTTTCACAAATAAAGCTTTGGTTAATCACTTTTGACTCTTTATTATAAATTACGCTAGTATTACCAAAAGTCACATGATATATGAGATCACGTGATACCAGTGCTGAGCACCAGTGGTGATGAATAGCAAGCCTCATAATTTTGTATATAAATAAAATTATAAATATTTTTATAATATATAATAAATATAAAATGATGAAATTACATATAATATATACAGATAAAATATATATAGATCGAACGCTGATCAATTGGGTACCTTCCCAATTGGTCACTTTTTTTGATCAGCAATCAATAGATAGATATTAGTAAATACTACAATTGGGTATGAATTAGTTAATATCATAATCATAATTATTAGGTAGAATTACATAAATCGGATTCAAACCTGATTTTATACTTATTTTAATTTATAACTATATGTTAAATATAGTTAGAACTCGATATAACGATTCTCGATATAACAATCATTTAATAAAATCTTGTTAAAATGATTTTTTTTAAAAAATTTAACTTTATATTTGAATATATAAAAATCGTTATATAGAACTTATAAATTTTGATAAACCAATTTTTTTTAATAAATTTCATAGTAAATTAGAAGGTTCATTATATCGAGTTCTGATTATAGTAACAAATCAGGTTCAATTAATAATTAGTTATCAATCAGTTTAATATCTGATTGATAATTATTATTCAATTAGATTTTACCAATTGGTAACAATTCACTAACAAGTCTTGTTAACAAGATTTATTAACAATTCATAATGAAATTTATTATATGATTTCATTTAAATGAATTGTATGAAATTCGTTATAATGATTTATTATACGAATTTCATTTAAATGAATCAAAATAAATTTTGTTAAGCGATTTATAATAAAATTCGCTTAAATGAATCTTAACAAAATTCATTACAATTCGTTATAATGAATTTCATTAAAGAATCGTTAAACAAAATTACATTATGAATTGGTTAACAAAATTTTATTACAATCATTTAAACAAAATTCGTTAATGATTCTTTTAATGAAATTTGTTAACAATTTGATTTGCTTAATGAAATTTCATTACAAATCGGTTAACAAAATTTGTTAATAATTCGCTTAACAAAATTTCATTATGAATTGGTTAACTAAATTCGTTTAAATGAATTTCGTTAAAGAATCATTAAACAAAACTTCATTACGAATTGGTTAATGTAATTCGTTATGATTCGTTTAAACAAAATTCGTTTAATGTATTGTTCAACAAATTTTGTTAAGATTCATTTAAATGAATTTCATTATAATAAATTATTATAACGATTCAATTAAACGAAATTCGTATAATGAATCGTTCAACAAATTTCATTAAGATTCGTTTAAATGAATTTTGTTATAATGAATCATTATAACTAATTTCGTAGGTTAACGAAATTTGTTTAAATGATTTGTTAAACAAAATTTATTAACGATTCATTAAATGAAATTTATTAGTAATCAGTTAACGAATAATTCTAACGAATTGTTAAAGAATATTAATGATTTGTTATGAAATTTATTATAATGAATCATAATGAATTTCATATAACGATTCTTTACTTTTACGAGATTTATCAATTCAAATGTGAATTTCATCTATCAAAGACGAATTTTGTATTCGAATATGATTTTTGTCAGTTTAAAGACAATTTTTGTATTCAAATGCAAATTTTATTAATTAATGACGAATATTTTCATTTCGAATACGAACTATTATATTCGAATATAATTTTTGTCTTCTATTAACTTTTTATATACAATTTGCTTACTACGAAAATTAAGTGTCATAGTAGATTATATATATTTAACCTCTTTTTAATAAATCAGAATATTCTCTCTTCTTTGTAGTTTTTTTTTCTTTTTTTTTAGTAAAGGACCTTTCTTTCTTTTGGATAATGGTTTTTTACTTATTTTTTTTCTTTGTAACAAATGTTCTTTCTTTTGGGTAAGATAAGTAGTTTTTCAGGACTCTTTTGATAATGGTTTTTTGGATTTTTGCTTTTTTAATAGAAGTAGATTTTTTTTGCTATTAGTTAAGGTAAATCTACAAATTGGAATGGTTGTTTTTTGGATTTTTACTAATTTTTTTCTTTTATAACTATTTTGCTATTGGTTAAGGTAAGTCTACAAATTGGAATGGTTGTTTTTTGGATTTTTACTATTTTTTTTCTTTTTTTAATAGAAGTTGACTTTTTTGCTATTGGTAAAGATAAGTTTACAAATTAGGATGATGTTTTTCAGATTTTTACTAATTTTTTCTTTTTTTAATAGAGGTGGATTTTTTTGTTATTGACTAAGGTAAGTCTACATATCAGAACTCTTTTGATGATTTTTCAGTTTTACTAATTTTTTCTTTTTTTAATAGGAGTTGACTTTTTTTCTTATCATATATATTAAATAATTAAATTTAATAAATTTGTAACAATCAGAAACTTTATTATTAATAAATATATTTTCTTATAATTAAATGTATTATATTAATATAAATTATATCAATAATAAAATTCTTTTTATTGTATTAATCAAGATTACTTACTTGTATAAAATAAACAATTGTAAATTACCTGTATTATAAAAATTTGATAAAATGTTACCAATCGGGATATGATATTTGTATAATAGATAATAATAAGAATATTCATATTGATGACTTAGGGATAATCTGATTGGAAACTAGATATTAATAAATTGATATCAATAAGAATAACCTATTGATATCTTTATAACACCCTAATTGGAATCTTATTGTATTCTATCTATGCCATTATTCGTCATCAATTGGGAATATCTGATTCTAAAAAACAAAAAATAAGGAACCAATCAGGTCAAATCTGGGTTGCCAGATTTGACCTGATTGGTTCTCTATTTGTCATCGTTTGACTAGTGATATTTAATGTACTGAAAATAACATATTTAATATACTAAATATAGTGTATCTAATGTACTGAAAATAACATATCTAATATACTGAAAATAACATATTTAATATACTGAATATAGTATATTTAATATACTAAAATTAATGTATCTAATATACTGAATATAATGTATTTAATATACTGGAAATAGCGTATCTAATGTACGTATCTAATGTATTGAAAATAGCGTATAATATTTATAGATAAAACATATTTATATACTGAAATAGCTTATACAATATATGTAATTTACAAATTTTATATGTTCGTAATTCTGACATTTGCCTTATTTTATATATGTAATAATTATACATTTTTTATGAATATGAAAACGTATGATTACCATATACAATTCTATATATAAATTTCTTATAAGACATCAATAGGTACACATTCAATCCATTTTTGACGTTGTCTATAAACTTCAATTAATTCTGCAACTTTTGTTTGATCTTTTATGCATATTGTAGGACCAATATAATTATATGCTTTATGGAGAGAGAGAGAGAGAGAGAGAGATGAAATGTCTAATAAAGATGCAAAAAAAGTTAAAGAAGGATTAGGAATGAGAAGATTTTTTTTTAAGAAATAATGGAAAAAAGAAACTAAGAAAACAAGAGAAAAAAGAAATTTCACTGATGAAGAAAAAGAAGAAAAAGAAGTTGAAACGCTATATTAAAAAAGTTAATGTATTTATTTTATAAATGTTATAATAAATGTCTGATGTATTTCTTTTATGGCATAAAAATCAGATTGTCAGTCCAGCCAAATTTGCTGTAAGCCAACATGTTGCTAAAGTGCTAATAGACATAAGCACAATTAAAAAATTAATAAAACTTTCATGATACTCTCCAATTCCTCTCATAAAAGTTACACCACGTTGTATTTTATCAATGATTTTCATTACAGCTTGTGCCATTCCAACAAATATAGGACAATTTTCTTCCATTGTTTTGTCAACTAAAAAAGTTATACATTGACTAACCCAATTTTCAAGCCCATGGGTTTCAACTGCTTCAATAATACGTCCAAGTGTAGGATATTTGTTAACTATTGCATAATATGAATAGTCTGATATTTCTATTTCAACATATTTGTATAATTGCTATAATTCTGTTAACTTTGTATTCCCAGGTCAACGTTTAAATGAAGTAATTACTACTTTTTGATATTGTATTGAGTCTAACTATTTCCAAATTAAGAAATAATATTTGCAGATATTGGTTGCCTTCTTTCAGAAGAAATAAACAATCAATCTGTGCAATAAGTTCTTGATAGCGTTGATTCCTTTTTTGTACAGCTAAGTGTTTTGATGATCCATGTCGAATAAATTTCATTACCAAACCGTTACCTTTAACGAATCATCGAATTGGGGAATGACCATTTTATCGTCTTACGATTTTCCCAATTAGGAATAAAACACGATAATAAATTGATCTGCTACAACATGACATGATTCGATCTATTGTTTGAAAGATAAGTTGATCCGAAAAAAAAGAATTGTTCTTAATTATGTAAAACCTAATGATCTCAAAAAAGACATATAGAGGTTTAATTGCCAATCACATGCCCGAGCTTTTTTGTCGGGAGTTAAAGACCGAAAACCTTTTCGGTAAATTTATTGAAAAAATAATACATGTAAAAAGCATACAAATAATACAAATATCAAAGTGAATGAAAGAAATTATAATGGGATATTATGCTCCTTGCAGAAATAGATAGCAGGAGTGTATTCGTGATAGGCGGCTAATTTCATATAATGAATAGCTTTTGCTTCATCTTTCTTACCATTACAGCCATTATAGTATAAATTTCCAACGTTATACATTGCTACCCTAAGGCCATCTTCAGCAGCTTTTTCAAAATATTTAAGAGCTTCCGTCAAATTCTGGTCAACACCTTTGCCATGATATAAACAATCACCATATCTTAATTTCGCTTCAGGGAATTCATTTGCTTCATCATTAGCAACTTCTTTAAATAATCCTGCAATCATTATCTCTTTATCTTTAGTACTAAGATCTAAATCATCATAACCTTTTGAAATATAATAAGCTTTATAATATTTTGCTTTGATTTGCTTACGCCTCGCGAATGCTTCGAAACATTTATACGCATTCTTTAAATCTCCAGCGGGACTGCCATTTTTATCAACCATTTTATGTTGTTTTTCTGCTTCAGCAAGTGTCATGTAATTGAACGACTCGAAATCTTGTAAATTTTCATCTTTAATGGCAAACTCATAATCATTATCAATGCTAAATGTTCGTTTTGGAGTCGGAAGTTTCGGTTTACTTTGTGAAAAGTTAGATGAAGAAACGTCTGATAATGATAATCTGACGTATTCTTTGTTACATTCCCCAAGGATATTAACCATTTTAGAAAGTTTGGGCCTGAAATCTGGGTCGGGATTAACAGCTAAAGCGGAGAAAAGGAGAAAAGGAGGATTTAAAATGGTTTACAAGGAAGTTAAGAAAGTTTTTTTTGAAAATAAAAATTAACATACCCTTATTTACTAATTCTTTGAATTTTTCGGACATTCCATTATTTTCAGAAAAAGGTTCTCGATATTTCTTTTTAAGTATAAGGTCGGTTATAGACATAATATCATATTTAGCATACGGAATTCTCGTTTCAGCGATTTCCCAAAGCAAGATTCCAAAGCTATAAACTTCACATTTATGATTATACTTGAAGTTTTGAACCCTTTCCAACAATTCAGGAGCACAATAACGAACACGTTCTAAATTTTGATTTTGCTTTTTTGTAGGTCCGGTCAGGGGGCGACTTAATTTGAAATTTCCAAGTTTTGCTACTTCATTAACCGTAATGAAGATATTCTCGGCTCTAACGTCACGATGCACAATCTAAAACAAACAAAAAAAAAAATTCATTAATTCACTTTTTTTTTAAAAATTAAGTTTGAGTAATAAAACAATTAAATAATAATTATATTTACATCTACGGTTCTTAAAAAATTTAATCCACGAGCAATGTCAAGACATAACTTCAACTTTAATAGTTCAAATCGTTGTCTAAAGCTTGTATAATATTCTCTCAAGTTCCCAAATTCGGCCCATTCCGTCACCAAATACGTTTTACTTCCATCATTAGTCAGTCCATAAAATTTTATGATGTTTTGCCAATCCTGAAATTCTTTAAGAATTGTAACCTGATTTTGCACGCTATTCTTGTCATTCTCGTCATCACCGATAACCTTGAATGCAAATTCTTGATGTCTATCACACATCCACTTGGTAACTTGACCATCATCACGCCTGTCATCACCTTGTACATAATCTTCAAAGGTTAGGTTATGGAACTGGAAAATCTTATTGATTTTCGATTGGTCGGTCTGTTTTGTTAGCTTTTCCATTGTGTTATGCATTGCGGTGATTTTTAAAACCATATCGGGATAATTTTCCGTATTTTGTTTAATTTGTTTGATTTCAGTTACAAGTTCCTTGACATCAGTTTCAATTTCTTTGACATCATTTCCAACTTGTTCGACGTCATTTCCAACACGTTTAACATCAATTTCAATCGTTTTGACGTTAGTACCAACTTTTTTGATTTCGATTCCCATTTCTTCTAAATACTATAATTATCAAATATGAAAATATAAACATTAATGATAAGACAAAGTACGTAAATTAATTAATTTTTAATCATACCTTATTTAACTCTTCTTGATCAGCTTTTAATTGTTCAGCCTCATTTATTTTATCTTTAGCAACGATAGAAAAACTTAATAAACTCACACAACTATCAAATTCGCTACATAATTCCTTGAAGGTTTTCTCAATTGATTTCCCTTTAAGGTATTTTATCATAGTTTTCATTTGAGAAATTTCTGCGGTAAATTTTTTAATTTGTGATATAATGTTTGCTAAACTTTGTAAACCTAAATAATTGTTTGTATTAAAATATTCTTGATTAACATTTCTTCGAACCTTAAGGTCAAGTACGGCCAATTCTACTGCGTAAACCCGTTGTAATAATGCATCACAAATACGTTTATTGTGTTCGGCAGTTTGTACAATTTCAATGATTTCGTTGAGAACACTTCCAATTTCAGATATCAAGGGGACAAATTTTGTAATTGGAACTATTACGGGAACAGTAATTTCAAAGGCTGACGTTGTAGCGGCAATCAATTTTCCCGTAGTATTGACTAGAGGTTCAGTGATATCTGAAATATCATCTAATTTTTCAAAGATATATTCCTTCTTGGACTTTTTTGGTTCATTTTCTTTACTCATTGCTTTTATTTATTTATTGAAAAAAAATTTTTTTTCTTTCGTTTCTGGAGTATTTTTTTTTATTTTTTTTTTTTTAAATTTTTTAAACAAAATTTGTTGAGCATATATATATATATTTATACAAATTTACACAAAAAAAAAAATTCTGTACAACTTCGCATATTATGTTTAAGCATTTTATTTTCACAGTGTTGTGTTAAACTGATGTTTCATTTGTTCCTAGTGACCCCGATGTGATTTCACAAGAAAAAAAAAAGAAATACATGGTAGATTTCTCGACGGAAATCAAGGTTTCCTTCATATATTGTTCTTTAAGCTTCTACAACTACTATTTTATTGTTTTAAAAGTCTGTTTCCTAAAAAGTAAAACCAGATGTATAATCTTCTTGTGCCACATAGATAATGCTATTCAAATCTCCTAAAAAAATTTCAACATTACTAAAAAGTGAAATCACGTGAAACTCATTTCCATAAAAATACGATTGTTGGGAAAAAAAAAACCGGTTAGAATCATGTTATGAAAAGTCTTTGTCCCATTGTGCATAGATAGATAGATCTCTGATCTAAAGTAGATTTTTTTTTTTCCTTTGGCTATCATTGAGAACTTTTTTTTTCCCTTGCAAATTATTGCAATCTTTCTTTATACGTGAGATATTTGCTGAAGGGATTTCACCAAGTGTGACTTGTAAGTCTCACACTTTAGTTTATGCAGACCCCACTGAATATAACGAACTGAAACTCCCCGAGATGTCGGATCCAGGCCTCTTAATCCTACTTACTTTAATCAAATGTGACGCAGTATTATTTTCTAATAAATCGACATGTACTTTTGAAGAATGTTTCCTCTTGCTCATTTTACTTGACTTTGAAAATGAAATGTGAGAACGCCAGACTTTATTCCATACGTAGTGGAAGGGATATATACGATAGTTAAATGCGCATACCTTGTTATTCGCGTGGCATGGAATCATTGCATATGACGTACACCCTATGATAAATATTTGCTTTTTTTGGTAAATACCTTTCTTATTCTTTATCTTTTACAAATTTGCAAATAAGAATTAAACAACTATAACAACTTAAGGACCAGAATATACTCTTTAAACGACCTTATTGAAAGATTTTATGAAAGCAACTAAAATTATTGATCATGTGCATTTATATTGTTTCAGAAACTAAATTGCGAAAACTATAAGGCAGAATTGCCATTATCATTCATTCTAATTTACAAAATTAATCAATTCAATTATTAAAAGATTGAACAATATCGAGAATATTTAGGTCATCTATTTGTTTTTTTTTTTGGCCTGCATTGGGCCAGGTTCGACATGTTCCGGCCAGCGCAAAGTCATCATGTCTAAATAATTATTCCTTAGTAGCAATTAAAGACAATTAATTGTCTTATTTTTTTTTTTGACTCGAAGATGATAAGTTTTCTGAATTGAATAATAAATAATTAACGTTAGCCTTATTATACAATATATCAGCCACCTTTTTATAATACATTGCGAAATTCAATTATAACAATTGCTATAAGAATATTTGTTTATAATGATTGCTTTACCATTCTTGATTCGATATTTTCTTGATCAATAATTGCGAATCCATTAAATGGCCCGTATATTTTACTTGCGATTCAATAGATTCACATCGATAAAATAATTAATCAGAAAAAAAAGTGTTAAATGAATGTGAACATTTCACATAAATAAAATACCCATCTAAATTGGTCATTTTTGTCTTATTCCATACAATATGAGCTCGGTCCTTCGTTACTAATCAACGACAAAAAAAAATGTATCAAGGTTACAAATTTGCGTATCAAGTGGTATTCATTTATTAAGCATTAACGTATACATCCTATTAAAAACTTTTTATAATTTTCATGTAACTTTTCCATCCTCTCTCTTTCTCTTTTTTTTTTTATTACGCATTTGTAAATTGAGAATGAACATATACATTCCTTTTTGTCTCTTTTGTCTTACTTTGATTATTGTTTATAATTTGAATAAAGTAATAAATGAATTTCCATGATTTAGTATCTTGATATCCGGAGAATGGGATGTACCTTGCAAATTTCGCGTACTGGTTTAAATCATCATATATTGAACGATTAATTAAACTTTATCATATTTAAAATTAATAAAATTTTTTATTGAAGAATAGGAATTCGATAATGTAAGCGTTCCTTAAGTTCTTCAAAGAGAATAAAGAAAGATCGATAAATTATTACATTTTTTTTTTAAAAAAAAGCACAATAATAAAATCCACCATTTGAATCGCATACCAGCAACATCATCTATTCGGATCAGTAATCTAATGTTACAAAATAAAATCAAAAAATAATTGGCGACCGTTCGTTCAGACAATCAGTTGTATTTTTATTTTTTTTTGTATCCATTATCAGCCGTTTGTAAATTTCAATGCTCAAGCGTTGATAATATTGATTGCATTTATCGCCACATTAGTCCTAAGATTGCGGCAGTAGAATATAAAAAGGTCTCAATTTAAATTGAAAATGTTCTAACAATAAAAAAACGGAGAATAAGTATGTGATATTATACAAAAGCAATTGTAATTATGGCAAGTGTTATTATTTTATTTTACCTGAATTTCTAAAAAAAGTCTGATCATAAACATTTGACAAAGATTTAACGTGAATTTTAAATTATAAATTTTTTTTTTTGTATTTTTATTGTTATTTACTATTATTGTACTATTAGTACAAAATTGCACTCTTAGGAGGAAGAAAAAAAAAAAAAAAAAAAAAAAAAAATGTAATGAAATGAAATTTGAAATTTGTTGTTTTATTCTACATGTAAAAAAGAAAAAAAAGATATCGAAATGTTCATCAAAAGCAGAATCCTTTATACATCATCCTATACATATGCAAGTGATAGATCTCTAAAAACAGGTAAATATATTTTTTTTTGTTTTGTTTTTTTTTAAAAAAAAAAGATGAAATTGTTCAAAGTTTTGATTGTTCCCAATTATCAAGAGAAAGGTCTTAAAGTGGAATCAATCCATCTCTCAATACTCTCGGTACCATTAATATCTATATCGCTGGTCACATAACCACCTTTACCATCTAACAATAATACTTTATCATGATACTGCAATAATTCCTTATTGTGGGAAACGGTAATTGCAGTTATGCCCAATTCTTTACATTTATCAAAGAAAAGTTTCTCTGTCTCTGAATCCAATGAACTTGTCGCCTCATCAAGTGCGGCAAAAGTTGGTTCCCAGAAAAATAATCTAGCAAACGCAAGTTTTTGTTGTTCGCCAGGACTCAACATTATATTCCAATCAATTCCATATTTTAAATCAAATGACTGCACTATTCGTTCAATGTGCGTCAAATTAACCAAAGCCAGTAACGTTCTTACTTCTTCATCATTTACTAAACGAAATAAAAAAAAATTTATATAAGAACTTCTTTTTTTAAAAAATAAATAATTAATTAAAAGAATCATAATTACAAAGTTGATTTTTCTCGTCATTTATCATGGGATAAGTCAATTGATCACGTAATGATCCAAATACTAAATAAGGTGTTTGTGGTAAGTATATTAAATATTTGTGGTTGATCTGCTTTTGATGTTCGATTTGGCCTTTGGTTGTTGGCCATAACCCGCACATGACTCTCAATAAGGAAGTTTTTCCACTTCCATTTGGTCCCATTATCATAACATTCTTTTCTTGCTCGATCGTGAATTTGAAGTCCGATAATAATGGGGTTCCTGTGGGGGATGCGAATGATACTTGACTAAATTCTATCGAAAGTTCAGCACTAAAAGAAAAAGGATGTCAAGTTAACACACGATTCATCAATATTATTTTTGAAAAAGAAAAAAAAATTAGTTACCCAGGACGATATTCGAAGGGATAATCGGGGTCAACGTCATCAGTATTATTGCTAATATCTTCAATTGCCTCCAATAGTTGCCCAATACGAGCAGTGTAACCTGCCAAATCTGATATATTTGTGCTTTGTTTTACAATCTCCGTAAATCGATAAATCAGATACAAGGATAGAAAAGCATTCATACTAATTATTCCACCCAATTTTTCTTTCTCAATCCCATCATATTCTCCAGAAAAAACAGGAATTGCAATTATGAGATAACTGAAAATTGATCCAAAATATGAGAATGATTCGGTGAGAGCGTCCAAATATAGTTCTCGATCAATTATTTTTCGTTGATATTTCAAGATGTTATTAAAGAAAGAATCTAAACGATATCGTTCAGCCTTTTCACCCAAACTGAAGGCTATAGATTCAGCAAATTGTCGTATCCTAATATGAAGAAATCTAAAATTCCCTTCATGAAATTCTTTTATGTATACCAAATTTACCAAAGGATTTATAAGGAATCTACTAGCAGTGATCCCTAATATGAAATACGAGTAAATTAAAAATGGACCCAAAGAACCAGTCAAACTACTTGTCTTGTATGTGTAATAAATGATGAGAATTGGTGTAATGATTGTCTTTTCACATATCTCTTGAAATGTCTCTGAGAATTTATCAACATCTTGTGCAATTCGTTGATCACTTTGGAAAAAACAAATCGGATGACACCAATTAGAAAGTGAATTAAGGTGAGGGATAATAGGAAACAACACGAAACAAAAATTTGCTTACGGATTATCAACGCCAGTTCTGGAGGCTAATAAACGATAGAAGGCATTCTTATTTACGTATTGACTGTGTAAAGTTCTGGTCAATATTTTCCTTGTTGATAAGGCAAATAAGCCTCCAATGAATTTTACGAAACTTCTACACTTTTTTTAAATAAAATAGAAAGGGATAAAATTAATTGGACGCGTGAGATAAACCAAAAAAAAAAAAAATTCCTTTATATACATACGAATCCAGCACAAAGAACGATCACAATTGAATAAATCATGAGTGGCTTAAAGTTATTCAAATCATTGCCTATTAATACGGTATAAAATCTGCTTGGAATCATACCAGTAAAATACACCAATATTTCATTTAATAAACTAAAGCATATTAATGACGACCATATCAATATCACATTTCCATCTGGATTCGAGGGAGAGAAAAGTATACGTAATATACGATGGAAACGACGTAGAAATAGTAGATCGAATGAAGATTGGGATTTGTTTTTTATGTAATCTTGTTCTGTTACTTCTAACGGAATTGGTTTTGTAGTCGTACTTTATTTGATATTTAAATATTTGTTAGTGATTAACACATGTGACATAAGTGAATTTGATGTGATGTCTAAGGAAACAGGTTTTTTATTGTTACCTTGATCCTTCTTCTGTTAGCGTCGTTTCATCATCATCATCAGAGATTGATATGGGATGATAATCATAGCTCATGGTAGTCACGAAAAGTTAAAACCACAAAAAAAGATTTAAGTAAAAAAAAAAAAAACTATAACAAGAAAATATGTATGTAACCCGATGATGATTGATATACGTAATTTGAAAAGGTAATTTAATTTTTTTATTCTATTGAAAAAATGAATTGATAGATCAAAAAAAAAATTATATTCAATGAAAAAAAAAAAAGCTCTTTTTGTGGAGGAGGGGTATTTATATTATTTAATTCAAATGAAATGATCTTCAAATATGTTGTAAAATAAACGAACCAATCGGGAGAACATAGATTCAAGATTAAATTCAGGATGTAAGTTTTTTTTTTTTTTTAATAAAAACTTAATGCATTATGCTAATCACCATTTTTTTTCATAAAAATGTCAAAATCAAAATAAGTCCGCTCGCTAACTCTTAATGAAATTATCCCGATACGGAAATATTTATTGAGAAAAAAGATTCCAATTGAAATGTGATTTCAAGATTTTCACAATGCTAACTGAATTCCTGTGAGATGACGTTTTATTTTTAGCTGACGAACAATAGAAAATACCCGCAGCACGTGCGAGCACAGCTATTTTTAATACATCCATATTTGTTAATAATGAACCTTTGAACAAAAAAGAGCATGATGTACAATTAAGTCTTGAATGACCTTTTCGTTTCGATTAAATGTTTCGATTCTCACATTCGTCCTCTAACGTTATTGTAACGTAATGAAAGGCATCAGTGAATGAAACATATCATGCATGCTGTTGAATGAACGTTCCACCTACAAATTCTATGAGAACCCTTCTTTTCTTTTCCTATTATGTTCTTTTTTAAGGTTAATATACACTTCACATTTCACATCGGAAATGAAAAAATTGATTCTATTAAACAATTTTGGCGCCAATTGATAATTTCCAAAATCCATTAGGATAACCTCATTCAAGAACATGGCTTTTGTGTAATAAATAAAATCATTTGATTTGCAATGTCTAAATTTATTCAATATGCCATATATATATCTGATTTTAGCATTTGACCAATAATCACATATAATGATAACATAATTCGATAGGCGCATAAATGAAAAGGACCGATTGCTTAAGTCTTTTGTTTATAATATGTACACATATGGTGATTAAAATGAAGTGCCAAATAATTTTGTTCTGAACTCTTGCACTTTTTTTTAAAAAAAGGGGGGAGGGACACATTTGTATGACAAAAACAGTTTCCATCATCAAGTCTTTTGTTTTGTTACCTTAAAAAAGAATGACATAACGATTAATAAAGTTATAAGATTAAGGAAAGTTTTTTCTTTTTATGTAATAACATACTGTCATTAATAATTAATTATTATTTTTTTTTCTCATTGATGGGCTAAATGTTAAGAAAATTTAGATGATCGATTTGGTGGTTTTTCGGGTATTTGTTTGTTTATGTTTTGTTTAATGGTTTTTTTTTCTAATGTGGAGAGATTAAATTATTTTATTTTATTTATTTTATTTTTACTTTGGAAATTACAAGATTTTAATCAAGTATTCCATTTATTTCATTCCTTAATGATTGGTTAAAATATATTAGTTATTGTTGTTTTCTATTGTTAAATTTTATCATGTTAAATTTGTGTCGCCTTTGGCATCTTGCTTTTACTCAATATTTGCATGATTTTCTACCCCAATGAATTTTTTACACATGAAAGTACAATAAATAATAATCTTTTTTCTGCACAACGTAGATCGAGAAAATCTCAACTTTTTTTTTATGAAAAAAAAAATTTCTTACTACTACAAGAGTTTCCATAATCATTAAAAGAAGTGTATATCTTTATTTATTTTATTTTGTTGCAAAAATAATCAAATTTCTCAAATTTCCTTTGCCGAATTCCTTGAAATGTTTTTAAGAAGGAAGATTCTTTATGCAAAATTTCGAAGATACAATCTCGGGTTGTGCACAAAAAAAAAAATAAAATAAAATAAAATAAAAAACGTTTAAATGCTATTTTTGACTAATTTTTTTTTGTAGTTAGATCCAGAACTTTAAACAAAAAAAGCATAAATATCGCATGAGGGGTAATAAACATCACTTTTTTTTTTTTTTTTTGAAATGGTGATATAAAAGGATGGTGCCATCGAGGAATTTCGATGATATCACCAAGATCATTATGGTCGCGCAAAATAATTTTAAATGCAGTTCTTGATGTGTGCGTGTTGAAAAAGGTATGAATGAAAATCCGTGTGCACGTTTCAAATTTACTCGTTCGTAACCTATCATCTTAAATCAATCTAATTGCATTACTTTTTTATCACGAAGTTGATCAAGAACCCATTTCTAAACGAAACGGCGTGCTATTTTCTGTTTGGATCAAAAAATTGCTTTTCGGGAGGGAGGTTTATACTCCTTTGTTTGAAGTTTTATCTAAAGAATCCTAATTAAGCATATCTTTTTTTTCACAATGATTAACAAATTTATCCTTCTTTGTTCTAATTTTACATTGTCTTTAACCTTATCCGATATTAATGTTAGAGGGATCATAATGGAACAATGAGGCCATTTGTGACTGATTTCTAAAAAAATATTTAAGATGATTATAAATTAGGGCGCTCATGACAATCCCGTGGCTTACGAGAAATTTTACCTCCTGACTTGCAAAATATAAACAAAAAACGTTAAAGTGTAATTGTGGCGTTAGGTTGTTCTCTATTGTAAATAACACGTGGTTAATTTGTATCGTTTTCACATTTTTTTTTGTTCACCGAATTGAATGGACGTACCTTTTTTATTCATATGTGAGGCGAATTTCAATAAAAAAGTTATTGCTAAAACAATCTTTTGAACTTGTTTCAAAAGTATTTTTAATCGATTTACTTGAAGAGTTCAATATTAATATTACGAACCATCAAAACGAAAATATTCAACAATATTACCTCAAGAAAAAAAGTTTTCAAAAAGCAATAATTGTAGTCTCAAAATTTATTAAATTTGAATTAAAAGAACGAAACAATGTAATTATGATAAGGAGTCATTTTATCAGGGAGAATTAAATTTATCAATGACAAAATTATAAAATTTATAAAATAATTTAAATTTTGAATTTATTTGTATATAAAAATATATATATATATTATAAATTATTTAATATCTTTCATTAAAAAAAATTAATAAAAATAAAACAACGCCACACTATTTTTTTATGTAAATATTTCAGCGAGTGTAACAGAATATGATACACTGCCCATTAAATGTTCTTTGTTCAAGAATTCTGTTGGAAATTGTACTAAATGTCCCTTTACATGGTTTAATTTCCTTTCAACTTCAACATAATCTTGAGAATTTACTTCAATAGGCATTTTCATGGGATCAGATACGAACTTTTTATATTGTTCCCAATCAGTGACTAAACGAAATTGATAAAATTAATTAATGATTCCATTCTTCATTCTATATAACAATAATAACAACCTTTGTATTTACTTACCATTGTCATCTGGTACGCTTTTAAATACAGATCTGTATGTTTCAGTATTATCCCGCGCAATTTTTGACCAGTAATTATAAAATTCATCTGACAATGGATCCATGATTATTAAATCTTCTTTTGTGGGATGTTCTTTAGACTTGTTTTTTTGAGATGAAATTTGTTCATCTAGTAAAGAGGTGATAGTTTTCTCTTTTTCATGTGAAAACAAAAACAAATCTTCGGGCTTTAAAGGTGGTAAACAACTCTTCGTTATAGAACCATGATCTTGTGGCTCGAGTAAACCAAGATGTTCCTTAAATATATTGCTTCTTAAAGTATAAGCAAACTTACTTGCCTTATACTAAAATAAGCAGAGAAAACAATATTTTAGATTTTTTAATGATTTAATTTAATTTTCATTGCTTTTTAACACACCTTATTACCGTCCATAAATGTATCAACAGTTTTCTTATCCTCGATGATGATCGCGATTTCTGAATCACGATTTCCAAGTTGTGACCTATCATTGATATTCGCTACAAAAAAAAAGAAACAAAATCAAATAGATGAATAATTTAAAAATAAACATATCACGTTTGATCATTTCAATTTACCGGATCCACATATAACAAATCTATCATCCACAATCATTAATTTACTATGTATGTAAACTTCCTCAGTAACATACAAATGCTTGGGATCACTTTGTTTAATACCATCAGGTATAGCTGGTTCTCCGCCTATCCGTTCGTTTTTGAGGTGTTGCGGGTTTTCATCTAAAAATTGGTCTTCGGAATCTGTTGAAGGATGATGACCATTTATTTCATGAATTTTGTCATAACCTCGTAATGCAAAAAATGAAATATAATCTTCCGGATTAATTCCAGCTTCGAAAAGTTTATCCAATATAGAGTTTCCACCACGACATATTGAAGTATACTGCCAATGCATTACCAAACTATAAATAACATTTTTTTTTTTTTAAAAAAAAAAAAATCCTTAATAATTTGAACTTGAAAAGGTTAGTTAATTTTTTAATGATATTCACCGAATTGTTCCGGCATCTTTTGAGTTCAAATCGGCCTCAAAAGCTGGCAATAAAGGCATCATGACTATGATACGAAATTTTTCTTTATTTTCGTGCGCTTTTTTTATTCGCTCTACAATAATCTGTTAAATTTGGTGCGATTGATTAATAAAATTTTGAAGAATATAAAACTATTTGTTTTTATCGAAATACCTCACCGATCCTATTTTTAATAGGATGACTAGTATTCGGTCCTGTCGAAGTAACTGATCAAAGAAAGAAAAGAAATGTTACAAAACGTAATACGAATTTTTGTATTTTGAATAAAGGTAACTCACTAAAAAATTGATTTTCGATATATATAAAATGTTTGGAAGTTCGTATCAAATGACAATATGCGTTATAAATCGAATTCTTTGCAAATAGAAAAAAATTTGAGTTTGAACCCGGTTAACATCTAATTTATTCAATTAACAAAAAAAAAAAAAAAATCTTTACAAACCTCTAGTTTAATTCCGCTACTCCAAAAATCACTACTACGCAAGAGTTGAACATCACAAGTACCGAGAAATTTGCTTTCATCCCGAGTGCTAACGTATTCTGCTTTTGGCGTTAGAAAAGGAAATTTTTCACGTTCAAAAGCCTTCTCTTCCTTTATAAAATTCCATCTTTGTACAAAATGTCGAGCAATGTCACGCGCTGGATGTCCAATGGCGCCGATTGAAACGTCATGCCACGCCATACGAGGGATTCGAGTCTTATCAATTATTTCGGCATCGTATTTAGCGACTAAAATTTATTAAAGGTGTATTTCTAAATATCTAATCCAAGGAGATATGAAAGGGTACAAATTTCTTTTAATATGTTCAGTCGTAGTTTTACCATTAACAAAATCCTTTACCCTCGGATTTGAATAATCTTGTCCTGGCCATATCGATAGATTATCGGTTGCTGGACTAACATCTACCAATTCGTGTTGATGGGTATCATAACGTCCAAAACATAAATCCAATCCTCCAATAAATGCTATTCTACAATCAATCACCACCATTTTCTAAATACGAAATAAATTAAGTTTTTATTAAAAAATTAACAATTAATAAAACGGATCAAACATACCTCATGATGCTAAATAATATGTTTAGATAAAAAGTAAATATTAATTAAAATCATATGTATAATTCTTAAAAATCGAATCAAATCAAATCAAATCTTACAGCCCAAAACACTGTTCCTTCAGGTCCATGATCCGGATGTCTTTGAACTACAAAAAATTTAGTTAAAACTTATTTTTTTGAATTTTTTCTTAAAACATTTACAAACCTCTTATATTAGGATGAAGACTTTGGAGAGAAGATTTTGTGTGCCATGAATCCAAAGATAAAGTTAGCTTAACTTCCTTATATACTATGACGTAAATCATAACACCTTCCTCAGCCTTCTTCTTAAGTAAGCGATCTAGTCTATATTCTTCGTTTTTTGAAGGAGGTCGACGAAGATACTAAATGATTACGGATCAAGGTAAATTAGGTTTAAAGAATTTTTCCACTCCCTTTATTTTTAAAAAAAATAAATAATTCTAACCAGCTCTGGTGATAACCACCAATCTTCGATATATATTTCTGATTTTGCTGCCATAATAGCTTGTGACACGGCAAAGAAATAATCTTTGCCATCAACATACCATTTTACCTTTGCATTCTCTCTAATAGGAGCATATGAATCAAAACGATGCTGTTTGACCCAAGGAGAAGCTTGATTGATTTTCTCAATACTTTCAAGGAATTCTTTTAAAGAACGCGTATCACCCTTGATTTCTATTCTACGTGAACTATTTTCAATAACTACCCGACTGTGTCGTTTTATTACTCGATCTAAACCATGTGAAACTAATTTGTCACATTTAAAATATTTATCAATCAGAAAAACATCTGCTGGAACAGATGAACTTATATCCGAACAAAAAGCTATATAACTGCAACATGATCATCAAACAAATTAAGAATTAAACATATAAAAATATTTCTTCAAATAATTAGCAAGAAACTTAAGGATACGAATCGCGTACTATAATCCATTCTTTAATCCATTTTTCATTTGAATTTTTAAACGAACATATAGGTGCTCTAAATCTTTCAACTTTATTATCCATGTAACATTCTTTCCCCTTCCATCCCATATCTCTTGTAATTGAAATCGCACTAAGTTCCAAAAATTCATACAGATCATAAGCAACACTAAACTTCAAGACAGTTATTAATTCGATTAAATAATCTCCCAAAACCTTCCTTCTTTGTAGAGCTGCTGCTTGATGCTTAGCTTGACGCGATTGATGATTTCTTCCCATCATTGCTTTAAACCAATCGACGATACCAGTCGGTAACCTTGGAATATGAGGTAAATCATTTCTTTTCTTTAAATTAAGATAGAGCATAACGAAATCGAATCCTATTCTTTGGATAACCCATTTGACATCACCATACTTCAATTCTATTCTAAAACCAATTTGCCAATTATAAGTCTCATCATTGTACGAATCGGTAATAGCAAGCTACAATAATCAAACATTAATTTATTATAAAAGGAAAAACAAAAAATTTTTTGTTTTTCTTCCAAACCTTCAAAGCATCAAATATGACAGGTGGCTGAATTAAAAAAAATAGGATTAATCTTGGTTGATGAAATCGTGTAATTAAATTAATTTTAAATGTTACATACTGCTTTACGTCCTTTGGAATCTGTTTTTGCCCATAAAAATGGTATAGTAGATGGACTAAAAAAAACGAGAGCTCCGAAATTTCCAGTATCCTGTAAATGTTCTCTATCATGATGAGTGAATACTCTATTTATTGTATTTAATAAACTCGCCCTTTTAAGATGTTGACGTAAAGAAGTTGAAGGTCGTGATGATGCTTCAATTATAAATTAATAAAATGTTAAACACTTATTTCCTCATTTAAATAAGATCATCTATAATCTACATTACATTGAGAAGTTCCAGGGTTAGCAAGGTCAGATGATTGTCCAACCGATGGATGTTTCATATAATAAGGTTTTTCGGGTTGTTGTTCTTCAACATATGGAGCCAATAATTGTTTCTCTGAAGGATCCGAAGAGGGTAGTTTTTTTTTATATGAAGATCTTCGTCTTGCTAATGGCTGCTTACTTGAATCTTGTTGAAAACCATTTAGTATAGCTTTCTGCCAAGAAGTCGTATCGTCCAATTGATGCGAATCATCATCAGAAATGATGGAAGACCTTGTTTCTGCATGGTTTAGAGCAAATGTTTTATAACTTAATTCAACCCTAGATTTATTACCACTTCTCGTGATAGTATTATTTGTACCATTTGCATTATTAGAACTTGAAGGATCTGTCATTGTTTATCAATGAAAAAAAAAAAAAATGAAATGAAAATGAAAATGGTGATAATTTTTTCTTAGAAAAGCGGTTTGCTACTTTATATGAAATTTCTTTCTCGAGAATATTTGTAATTAACAGGCCGCAATATTCTCTTTCCCATTTTTATAAAGGCGCAAATAAAAAAAATTAACAAATATGTATGTTTCTCCAAATCAAAAAGATTAGCACAAATTTACGAAATTATTGTGTCACTTTTGTGTAAATAATTAATTATTTTGGCTTAATATAGTCATATAAAGTTTTTCGTTACACTTCGGGTAATAAACATATATTTGGACCACTAATTTTCGTTTGATTAAATGTCCGAGAACATTCCGAAAGAATAAACATTATGGAATCAAGAATATGTTCATTAGCTTGACTAAGTCGGAAAAAAGTAATGTAGTTTCGCATTACTGAACCAAATATTGATATGCAAGATTATTTTGATTTCGGATTAAAATTTAGGATTATTAATTACATGAAAAGCTTGCATATATCCACTAGCCAATCTAATAAATTATTATATTTTCAAAATCTGGTAGAATAATTTCTGCTCCTTCAGCTCTTTCTTCAATTATTCGATGTTTTGTTCTTAAATGATTAGCAATACTAGTTGTAGGACCATTTACATTTACGTTTAATACTATCATTATCTTCAACTAATATTTGACAACATCGACTTTTTTTTGAACAAATGACCAAACCCAACTTTCTGCTTGTATATGTGGCGTAGTAGGAGTCTCTCTATTATTATCAGGAAAAGCTGAGTTATTAATATTACTCATTTTTTTCTTTATTCGCTAAAAAAATATATAGTATTTTTAAACACTTATAAATCGAATTATTTTTTTGGATAATAAATAAATTAACCAATTATTAACATTAATAACATATTTTCTTTTGTTTCGAAACAAGTAAAAAACAATAACTGCTGAAGTTGATCAATCCTACAGTCAACTGACTAAATCAGCTAGTCAACCGATAATGACTGACTCAGTTCAGCTTTAAACACTATTTACATATCAACTATGCATGCATGTATTGTAGTTTAAGATCAATATCAGAAAATTGTGATTGTAATAAACTACGAAACTTAGCTTATAAATCCGAAAAAATATACATTAAAATGAAAAAAAATTATATTACAGAGTAATCAAAAATATGGATATAAATTAAATGTAGAATTATCACATCAATTTACACTTTGTTTAACATGTAATAGTCAAATCAATAGAAATATTAAAGCAGCTGATAAATTAATAATATTCTTTTCAATTATCATTAATATTACAAGAATTACAATTATCACAGTCATTACAAGCACAAATATATTTTAGATTACATATCTATTAAATAAAATAAACCTTCTATAATAGTTTAATTTAGAAAATCCATTTAGAAATAACTGTTAAAATAATGAAGCATTTGAATAAATTTTAAAAGATTATCAAATTATGATAGTAGAAATAAAATATAATAGTTATTATAACAATTAAAGAATCCAAAAAGTGGTTATATCAAATATTTATATTTAAAATATTTTTTTAAAGAATTTAGTTTTTTTATACAAATTTAATTTTAAATATTATAGAAAGAAATTTTAGATAATATTCTAATAAAGAATCAGATAATAAAATTTATTTTAAAAAGAAAATTATTAAATCAAAATTACTATAATCAAGAAATAAGTTAAAAGTTATATATCAAGAGAAGCAAACATAAAAACATATAAAGCATTGGTTAGTTCTTATGTAATAAAATTAAATGATAATATATTTGTAATATTAACAATTATAAGCATTATTTTATTAAAGAAAATCATTATTTACCTTTGCAATAAATCTATAGATTAAAGAAATTATTTGTATTTATAATTATTTTTTATAATTTTAATTTAATTTATTTATTAATTATTATCCTTTAGAACATAGGGTTTTGAAGGTAAATTTGCCTACTTATTTACTATAAATTCTCTTTTGATTTACTTTTATAAATAATTAATATTTTAAAAAAATCTTTTTTTAAATTAATTTTATAAATATGTAATAAATTATAATAAGTTTTATCTTTTAATTATATAATAAAAAATTTAATATTATTTAGAAGCTAAAAATTTGTAATTTTTAAAAACAATCTATATTAAAAAATTTCATAATTAATCTATAATAAAATTTACCTCTAAGAAATATATTTTTTATTATAGTTAAATAAATATGTAGATTTAAATATTTCTTCTAATCATATTTATTTAATATAATACATTTAATAAAAATAATATCAAGAATTTATTCAAATAAAACATTAAATATTATGGATTCTTTTTAATTGAGTTAACATATCTTTAATAAATATATTAATTACTATTATCATTTTTAATATTATCATGCAATACTATCAATTTTACCAATATATATAATCATAATTATATATATATATATTAATATCATTGTAACTATATTATAATATGAGAGCTTTGTAATATAAAAGAGAGAAACCTCTAAAAAAAATTTTTTTTAAGTTAATATTAAATTTAAACTTATTTTACTAAAAAATTATAATTAGCTTATAAAATAAAATTTTAATTTTTTTAGAATTTCCTTTCTTTTACTATAAATCTCTTATATTTACTATTTATTATCCTAATTATAATTCAAATATAAAATTTATCATAAACTTCAAATTATAATATAACAACAAAATTTATCAAATAAGAATTTTTAGAAAAATTATATTAAAAATTTGAAGAGAATAAATTTATTTGTTATTTATCTGTTTTAAAGAATAAGAAATTCATTTTAATTAATTTGTTAAATTATTTGATATTGAATATATTTTAATAGGTATTATAATTATTGATCTTAGGCTAATATTACATAATAAAATAAGAAATTACAATTAGTTTGTTAAAATATATTGTAAAGTTAATAAATATTATAAATAAAAATTAAGTTTTTTTATTTATATGAAATATATACTACAATTTTATTAAGTATATAAAATATTTTTATATAATCATAAAATCCAAAATATGTAAATAGAATTAAAAAAACAATAGATAAAAAGGAGATCAAAAATTTTTTTATATCAATTTTTAAAATTCAAAGTAAATTTTATATTTAATAAAATTTCTTAATTTTTATTAGATTAACAAAATTAAATATATATATTTTTAAAAAAAATTATATATTATTATAAATTTATATTTAATCATATTTATTAAAATTATCATATAAGAACTTTGCAGTAGAAAGAAAGAAAACTCTAAAAAAATTAAAATTTTACTTTCTAAGCTAATTATGATTTTTTAGTAAAATAAGTTCAGATTTAATATTAACTCAAAAAAAAAATTTTTTTAGAGTTTTCTCTCTTTTTATTGCAAAGCTCCTATATAATATATCTTAAAAAATTTAATTATAAAATAACTAATTTACAAATAAATTGATTCTTCAAAATACTTTTTTGCTATTTCAAATGTAATTTGAGCTAAAATAAATAAAAGTATATATATTAAATCAAAATATTTATAATAATTTTATATCTTTTTAACAAGATTTTAATATAAAAAAAGAAGAGTAAATAAGAAGGTAAAGTAAATAAAGTATTCTATGATGACTTTCATTTATAAATAACAATAATATTATATAATTTTAAACTTTTATAAATCATAGACTAAGTAATATAAAGAAATTTAAACTGATAAAATGATAAATCAACATATTCTACATATTTTTATTGGTTTATTTTATAAAATTTATTAGAAATTTTAAGTGATATTATAGGTTAAAAATTAATAATTTTAATAAGAAAATGATCAGAAATTACATAATTTTAAAAAAAGGAAGAAGTTTAATTCATGGTGATGTTTCATAAATTTTATATAAGTTAATTATATATTTCTTAAAATATTGATGATAGAAAGAGAAAGGAGTTAAAATTTCTAAATTTTAATCATATAATTTCTGGCTTTCCCTTAAGTGACTATAGTAATAATATGAAATTTCAGACTAATTTCATAGAATTTTTATGGATTTTATAAAAAATTCTATAAAAATCTATAAAATTTTATGTAATTTAAAAAAAATTACATAATATAAATAAATGGAATTTTAAAATTTCAGACTATATTATTTATAATAAAGATTAAAACTGTTTCCTAATAAATTACTCAGATATCTGCACTATTTTATAAATCAGGTATCTGTATTATTTCTGATCATAAGTTTATTTAACTAACTTTAATTGTGATATATTACTGCTTTTATCAAAAAATATTTGTGGTGAACTTTATTATTAGAGTAACAATTATATTATCATTATCTGAAAGGAAAGGCCTATCATTTATAGTTGAAAGCTAATATTTAGAGTGAATTTGATAATGAATTAAAAATTAAATAAAAAATTCAGCTGAAATGTCTAGAATATTTAATTATAAATGTCTTCCATAATTTAAATTTTAAATAAACTCATTAAACTTATTTAATATTTATATAAATAATTCAATTGATTTTAACTAATTTAAATTTCTTAAAATCATCGAACATCAGAAATCTGTTTTTTTATTAAAACAATTAGGTATCTGGATTATCAAATCTAAAACTGGATCAAACCGAATTAATGCAGATGATTTGGGTGATCTAAAGTTAGTTCTAATCTCTAGTTTATAGATGACAGCCACCATACAACTAATATTTTCTATAACTAAACTAAATTTTTATTATAATATATACATATATTATTTATTATTATTATACTTTATTTAGTAGTATAACAAATATGTTTATATTACTATATCGATTATTTTATTGATCATAAATAACTAAATTATCACATTATATAAAATTAGCTTATCTAGATTTTAAAGCTTCAGATAATACAGAATATTGTTACCCAACTATTGATTAGGCGGACTGAAACACGTAATCAATTGAGTAGCAGCAAGATTTAGCTCAATCTT